CAGAACAGACCCGCTCCGTAAATTATTAGTTGGACTTAAATATGTTTACAAGCATGACAATGGCGATAGACATTTCATAAGTTGAATTTTTCATAATAATTTGAAGTTCCATCGTGTTCACACAGTTTTCATTAATATTTCCATATAAAAATTATTATTGCATAGAATTTGAGATTTTTCAGGTAGGCAGTAACATGTTTTTAAAGTTTTTATTTTACCTGGACCTGGAGTTTACCTGGAGAGAGTTCCGGGGGTCAACGCCCCCGCGGCCCGGTCTGTGACCAGGCCTCCTGGTGGATCAGCGCCTGATCAACCAGGCTGTTGCTGCTGGCTGCACGCAAACCAACGTACGAGCCACAGCCCGGCTGATCAGGAACTGACTTTATTTGCATGGAGTTTCTGTATCATTCGTGTTGTGCAGTGTCTTCTGTTGTAGTTCTTTTGTAGGAATCTTTGCTCTGGATTAGTGTTAATAATTAGGCTTTAATAATTCGGGAATCATCGCCTCTGCAGCTCGGTCTTAGATCAAGCAACACACATCGAAAAATAAATATCACAGAAAGAAGAAATATTTAGAAATGCATAGGAAAGCAAATGTATGTATATACCGAATGTAGAAGTTTGTAAAATTTACTTGTGATCTTACATGTTCGTAAGACCAGCAAATCTTGCCAGTGCAAAACAAGCTTACATTTTATTCTTAGGACAGGTGGATAAAACTTTGGTAAGAAAGAAAACATATGCGGGTGTTGGTAGGCTAGCGGCTCGATAATGTGGTAGAAATATTAGATAAATGGAGGTTGGTAAGACTTTTGTTGACATTAACTCAGCACATCCTGGGACCGAGGGCCACGCCTTAGTCGACTGGGGATTCCTCGTTACACTTGACATTTTAGCTTCTCTCTTTTCTTTCATTATCTCTATTATTGATTCTTTGTTTTTTTTTTTTAACTGGGATTTTCCATGCTCTAGACTGAGCCAGTTCACGCGTGGGAAGTTTTCCATAAATTATAAATGTAGATTATAGACGAAATCATTCCTCACATATCTTAATATTTTTATATAATCTTTTCTTATATAAGCTAATTATTGTAAATAACCTAGCTATTTCATGTGAATTATTGTGCATATTCGTTTTGCATTAGTACTATAATAACCGTTTGCATTTAAAAAAAAATACCCACAATGCATTGTAGCAGTTGTAATTCATTAACAAAGGAAAGGTTTACATACAAACTGAACAACTTGTGGCTTAACACAAGCACTATACGAACACTTTACCAACTGTTGGTGGAACATTTTACAAATTGGATCAGATTATTTCGGTTTATTACCTTCTGTCAAAGGCATTTGTCAATAGGCATTTGATCTGTTGTTCGTTGGTTACCATTTGTGCGTGTGTGAAGGGGGGGGGGAGATTTTTTTTAAGATGAAATTTAGATATACCATAATGCTCTGTCTCAATTTCAGAATAACGTGATTTGACTGTACTCAAGCTTCAAGGTATAATAATCAGGTCTCAAAATTTAATACTCGAATATCAAAATTTTGTATTGGAGTCTCAGAGTTACTTTAGTCACGAATGTGAAATGGTGATGTGTTATAGAACGGGCATGATTTTTTTTTACTGCCGATTTCCTGTAGCGTAAGGAATATGCATCCAAAGATGCATATCTACAGGATGTATAAACGCATAGATGCGTATCTTTATGCATATGCATCTAGACTCTCGGATATTATTCTAACTCCACAAGATTTTGAAGAGGCAATTAGTGATATGCCCATGCACTCTGCCCCAGGCCCGGACTCGTGGAACTCCGTGTTCATCAAGAATTGAAAGAAGTCCCTATCGCGTGCCTTCAGCAAATTTTATGGAGAGGGAGCATGGACACACGGGTCATCCCACACACACCAAAAACAACAGACATAGCCCCACTCCACAAAGGTGGCAGTAAAGCAATTGCAAAGAACTACAGACCGATAGCACTAACATCCCATATCATAAAAAAATCTTTGAGAGGGTTCTAAGAAGTAAGATCGCCAATCACCTAGATACCCACCAATTACACAACCCAGGGCAACACGGGTTTAGAGCAGGTCGCTCCTGCCTGTCCCAGCTACTGGACCACTATGACAGGGTCCTGGATGCTGTAGAGGATAAACAAAATACAGATGTAGTATACACAGACTTTGTAAAAGCTTTTGAAAAGTGTGACCATGGTGTAATAGCACACACAATGCGGGATAAAGAAATAACGGGAAAAGTTGGTAGATGGATCTACAACTTCCTGACAAATAGAACACAGAGTAAAGTCCCAGGCAGCCATGGTAAACAGCTCTGTTCCACAAGACACAGTACTCGCTCCCATTCTATTCATCTTCATTTCTGACATAGAGATGTAAGCCATAGCTCCGTGTCTTCCTTTGCGGATGACACCCGGATCACCATGGCAGTGACCTCCATCGAAGACACTGCGAGACACCAAGCGGACATCAACCAAATCTTCGAATGGGCCATTCAAAACAATATGAACTTCAACGAGGAGAAATTTCAACTACTCAAATATGGAAAACTTGAAGAAATTAAAAATGTGTCAGGGTATACCACAAATTCTAACCATACAGTAGAGCGGAAAAGTAATGTGAAGGACCTGGGAGTGATAATGTCAGAGGATCTTGCCTTCAAAGACCACAACAATGTATCTACCTCATCCACTAGGAAAATGATAGGATGGATAATGAGAACCTTCAAAACTGGGGACGCCAAGCCCATGATTCTCTTCAAATCGCTTGTGCTGCAGCAGTTATCTGGTTTGTGTGTGTCTCCAGAGACATGCTCGGCTTTATGGTCACTCCAAGATCTTTTTCCTTGAGTGAGGTTTGCAGTCTTTGTCCACCTAGCCTATACTCTATCTGCGGTCTTCTTTGCCCTTCCCCAATCTTCATGACTTTGCATTTGGCAGGGTGGAATTCAAGGAGCCAGTTGCTGGACCATGTGTCCAGCCTGTCCAGGTCTCTCTGTACTCCTGTCTGCTGATTTAATTCTTCTCAGTAACTTCACATCTGCAAACAGGGACACTTCAGTCTATCCCTTCCATCCTCCAGGTATGTCATTCAGATATATCAAAAATAGCACTGGTCCTAGGACTGACCCCTGTGGGACCCCACTTCTGCGCTAATCTCTTGTGAGGAACTGTGTCGAAGGCCTTCCTGCAATCCGGGAAAATGCAGTCAACCCACCCCTCTCTCTCTCTCGTGTCTTACGTCTGTTACCTTGTCATAAAACTCCAGAAGGTTTGTGAAATGAGATTTGCCTTCCATGAATCCATGCTGGTTGTCGTTTATAATCTTGTTCCATTCCAGGTGCTCCATCACTCTCCTCCTGATAATCTTCTCCATGACTTTGCATACTATACATGTCAGAGACACTGGTCTGTAGTTTAGTGCCTCGTTTCTGTCTCCTTTCTTAAAAATGGGGACTACATTTGCCGTCTTCCATACCTCAGGTAGTTGCCCAGTTTCAGGGGATGTATTGAAGATTGTAGTTAGTGGCATGCACAGCGTCTCTGCTCCTTCTCTAAGGACCCACAGGGAGATGTTGTCCGGTCCTGTCACCTTTGAGGTATCAAGGTTGCTTAACAACTTCTGCACCTCCTTCTCTGTTGCTTGTATGTCATCCAACACTTGTTGGTATATTCCCTGTTGATGTTCCCCTCTGTGCTGACTTCCCAGAGCCCTTCCTGTCTCTACTGTAAATACTTCCTTAAATCTCCCATTAAGCTCCTCACATACCTTGTGATCATTTCTTGTGAGTTCCCCACCTTCTTTCCTCAGCCTGATCACCTGAGTTTTGACTGTTGTCTTCCTCCTGATGTGGCTATACAGCAGTTTCGGGTCAGACTTGACTTTCGATGTTATGTTATTTTCATACTGTCACTAGGCCTCCCTCCTTACCTGTGCCTACTCGTTCCTGGCTCTTCAACTAATCTCCTTATTTTCCTGTGTTTTTTTTTTTCCCTCTGTACTTTTTTCATTCTCTAGTGCACTTAGCTTTTGCCTCCTTACACTGCAGCAACAGCCTGGTTGACCAAGCGAGCACCAGATGAGCCTGGTCCATCAGAGAGTAGATATACTCTGAAAATTCTTCAAAGGTATATCAAAGGTATATCGGGTAAACCAGGGGCTCGTTCTGGCCTTCCCATTATTTCTGTTGCCCTTGGGAACAAACCTTTCCTCTGCCTCTTTGCATTTTGTTGTTACGTATTCCATCATTTCGTTTACTGACTTTCCTACCAGTTCTCTGTCCCACTGAACCTCCTGCAGGAAGTTTCTCAAACCTATGTAGTCCCCCTCTTTTATAGAATGGCTTTTTCCATTCAACTCCTGTTACCCTCTCTGCTTGTAACTACTATTTATTCAAAGCACAGAACCACATGGTCAGTAGCTCCTTGGGGCCTCTCATATGTGGTGTCCTCAATGTCTGAACTGCTCAGGGTGAACATAAGGTCCAATCTTTCTGGTTCATCCTCCCCTCTCTCTCTGGTAGTGTCCTTAACATGTTGATGCATGAGGTTTTCCAGTACCCCATCCATCATCTTGGCTCTCCATGTTTCGGGACCCCCATGTGGCTCCAGGTTTTCCCAATCAATCTCCCTGTGGTTGAAATTGCCCATAACCAGTAACTTTGCTTTGCTCGAGTGAGCTGTTCTTGCCACCTCAGCCAGTGTGTCCACCATTGCTCTGTTGCTCTCTTCATATTCCTCTCTTGGCCTCCTGCAGTTCTGTGGTGGATTATACATCACTGCAATGACTACCTTGTGCTTCTCAGACTGAAATGTACCTACAGTGTATTCATATGCATACTCCTCTATGCATAAACATCTATTATTATTATATTTCCATATACCAACATTATTCAGTATTAATAGTTTCCAAAGAAAACTTTTTTATATATAAATCTTTGGTTGTTTTAAAATAATAATGTGATAATTGTTGTGTAGGACAATCCAGGACCCTGCGAGCCAGCGTCTGACGTGGTACAAGCCACCTCTCTCTGTGCTGGTCATTAAGAAGGTCAGAGACGCCCAGGTCATCCAACCCTTCATCCAGCTCGTCAAGTGGCTCACAGTCGTAAGTCACCCCAACCATTTTTTTAATTAGCTATCATTAAATATACCACACTAAATATTTCAATACTTCCAGCAGGTCAGGAAGTATTGAAAAAAAAAATGATTATTGTACATACTGTTATTAAAATTTGATAGAGCATATTGTGTGGCCTCCCTTAAATACATAACTTTTTGCATTAGAACAAGAACTAGTACATAAGGAAATGCAAACTTCAGACACAAATGGAAATATTTAAAAAAAATTAGCGATGTAAAAGTAGTGAGGACATAGGAATTACCAGAAATGTCTTCAAGGTCACACAACAGTGTCTAGCTGCAGTGTTGAAGCTGAAGTGCTTTTGATCCAAGGAATTGAATCTACTATTTTCTTTGTTATGTCTACATAAAAATATGTTACTGGAATAGTAGCCATAAGCTTAGGGTATTTCATTACCCCTACACAATTTTGAAGCAATTTTTTCTGAAAGTGATAATGTGTGTATGTATGTATGTATGTTTGTTTGTTTGTTTGTTTGTTTGCCAGTAGTGTGTGCCAGAGAAGTGGGAGAGAGTCTTTTGCATTTTTATACTGACCTCATTTACATCAAAACTTTGTGGGCCCAGTCCCTGGGCCCATTATGTACCTCTGTAATCTGTAAATATCTTTGTAACTTGCTCTGCTACCAAAACTTTAGGGCCAAGTCTCTGGACCCATTATATACCTCTGTAATCTTGTAACTACCACCCAGAGGATGGGTATGGGGTGCATAATAAACATATTAAACTAACTAACCTCATTTGCCCAGTAGGGCTAGTGGGATTTTAGTCAGTTCTGTGAGCATATAAAGCCAAAATAGACAGTAAGTTATCCTCTTATCAAATATTGCCATGTAATGAGCTTCCATGGTGCACATTCAGTGAAGATGGTCCCCAGCCCTGGAAACTGTGCTCTTCTAGTGAAAATATGTTGCCTCTTCTCCTGTTACCATATCTTGTGTATTCTATGTTTTCCTGAATATAGCAAAATTCTTTTTGATTTCAACATTAAAATATTGTTTTCAGATACAGTATTGGTAAGTTTTATCCATAAAAAAACAAAAACATTAATATATTGGGCTGTACTGTTATACAGTAAATTTAAAAACCAAGTAGCTTAAGGCAAATATAATTCTTGTCATATTTTCAGGAAAAGAGAATGTTGGTGTTTGTGGAAGCATCAGTGATGGAGGACAGCTTGGTCACAAGTCACTCTGGGTTCCCTATACTGAAAGATAAGCTCATGAGCTTTAGGGAAGGACAGGATGATCTCACTGACAAAATTGACTTCATTATATGCCTAGGTGGTGATGGAACTCTACTATATGCTTCCTCACTTTTTCAGGTAAGCCATTAATTCATTCACAGCATTACAGAGTGTAATTTCTCAAATTTAAATGATCTTTTTTACAGCATAAGTTTTTTAATCTAATGACAATTGTTGAAATGACCTGCCATTAGGAGCCAGTGGGCCTGTAAACCTCGGATATTGTCCATATCACTAATACAGTGGACCCCCGGTATACGATGCCATCGGTATACGTTAAATCCAGTATATGATACATTTTAATGCAAAAATTTTGCCTCGCTACTCGTTAAAAAACCCGCCACCCGCGATTCGTCCGAGACGCGTCCACATGTGGCCTGAACTGCCCTGTGCGTGCCAGTGTTTACAAGCCAGCCAGTGTGCTCGCATCTAAGCATACATTCGGTACATTCCATATTATCACAGTGTTTTTGGTGCTTGTTTCTGCAAAATAAGTCACCATGGGCCCCAAGAAAGCTTCTAGTGCCAACCCTTCGAGAAAAAGGGTGCTAATGACTATTGAAATGAAGAAAGAGATAATTGCGAAGTACGAGAGTGGAGTGCGTGTGTCGGAGCTGGCCAGGTTGTATACAAAACCCCAATCAACCATCGCTACTATAGTGGCCAGGAAAACGGCAATCAAGGAAGCTGTTGTTGCAAAAGGTGCATGTCTGTTGTCGAAACAGAGATCGCAAGTATTAGAAGATGTTGAGAGACTGTTATTGGTGTGGATAAATGAAAAACAGATAGCAGGAGATAGCATCTCTCAAGCGATCATATGTGAAAAGGCTAGGAAGTTGCATGAGGATTTAATTGAATAAACGCCTGAAACTAGTGGTGATGTGAGTGAATTTAAGGCCAGCAAAGGTTGGCTTGAAAGATTTTAGAATTGTAGTGGCATACATAGTGTGATTAGGCATGGTGAGGCTGCCAGTTCAGACCAAAAAGCAGCTGAAAAATATGTGAAGGAATTCAAGGATTACATAGACAGTGAAGAATTTAAACCTGAACAAGTGTTTAATTGCGACGAAACAGGCCTGTTTTGGAAGAAATTGCCAAGCAGGACCTACATTACTGAGGAGGAAAAGGCACTCCCAGGACATAAGCCTATGAAAGACAGGCTTACCACTGATGAGCTGCTAGATCATCTTCAACAGCAAGAGGCAAGACCTGAGGAAACTGCTCCGGAGGAGGGGAGAGAGAAATTGAGGAAGTTGCCTACTTCAAAGATCAAGGAAATGTGTGCAAAGTGGCTTGAAATGCACACCTTTTTTGATGAAAATCACCCTGACACAGCTACTGCAAGCTGTGTTGGCAACCTGTACAATGACAATGTTGTGAACCATTTTAGGAAAGTCATAAAGGAGGCAAAGAGGGGAATGTATGAGAGTATAGATTTACCAACGCTCTTATATGGGTGTGAAGCATGGGTGATGAATGTTGCAGCGAGGAGAAGGCTGGAGGCAGTGGAGATGTCATGTCTGAGGGCAATGTGTGGTGTGAATATAATGCAGAGAATTCGTAGTTTGGAAGTTAGGAGGAGGTGCGGGATTACCAAAACTGTTGTCCAGAGGGCTGAGGAAGGGTTGTTGAGGTGGTTCGGACATGTAGAGAGAATGGAGCGAAACAGAATGACTTCAAGAGTGTATCAGTCTGTAGTGGAAGGAAGGCGGGGTAGGGGTCGGCCTAGGAAAGGTTGGAGGGAGGGGATAAAGGAGGTTTTGTGTGCGAGGGGCTTGGACTTCCAGCAGGCATGCGTGAGCGTGTTTGATAGGAGTGAATGGAGACAAATGGTTTTTAATACTTGACGTGCTGTTGGAGTGTGAGCAAAGTAACATTTATGAAGAGGTTCAGGGAAACCGGCAGGCCGGACTTGAGTCCTGGAGATGGGAAGTACAGTGCCTGCACTCTGAAGGAGGGGTGTAAATGTTGCAGTTTAAAAACTGTAGTGTAAAGCACCCTTCTGGCAAGACGGTGATGGAGTGAATGATGGTGAAAGTTTTTCTTTTTCGGGCCACCCTGCCTTGGTGGGAATCGGCCAGTGTGATAATAAAAAAAAAAATAAAGGAACGAGAGGTACAGGCCTCTATGGACAGATAAGTTGTGCAACAGAAGTCCAGTGACTCTCAAGCTGGTCCTAGTGGCATTAAAAGAAGAAGGGAAGTAACCCCGGAAAAGGACTTGCTACCTCAAGTCCTAATGGAAGGGGATTCCCCTTCTAAACATTAACAACTTCGACACTCTCCCCTCCTCCCAGCCCATCAATCATCACCAGATCTTCATTAAAGGTAAGTGTCATGTATTCTATTGTTAGTAGAGTACTACAAACTGTGCATGTCTTCTTCAGTTTGTGTGCATTAAACTTAATATTTCATGTGGTAAAACTTTTTTTTTTTCATAGTACTTTTGGGTGTCTTGCACGGATTAATTTGATTTCCATTATTTCTTATGGGGAAAATTAATTTGCCTTCCGATAATTTTGGCATACGATGAGCTCTCAGGAACGGATTAATATCGTATACCGGGGGTCCACTGTACTAGTGTTAATGATATGTTTGTAAAATATGTAAGCACAGCCTCTCCTCACTTAGCAACATACTCATTTACTGACGACTCGGACTTACGACGGGCTCTCTGACCAGTATGCAAACCTAAATAATGTATATTAGAGCTGATTTCCTCTATTCTTTTTATTACAATATACAGTACACTACTGTATAAACATTTAAAAATATACTAAAAATGTTATAAATGGTGCAAAGGTGACATTAAAACAATATCAAATATGATTGACACAAACCCACTACCATTATAGTATGCTCCTTGCTTAACAACAAATTCGTTTACTGACGTGGTCTTAGGCATGGAACTCCGTATTTTACTTTATTGGTACAACGTTTTACCCATGAGAAGGCTTTTTCAGGTACAGTATATAACAAATATGAGATATCAGCTTAGTCATCCAGGGTGTAAGAGTGTCACATATGTCAAGTTTAAGAGATGCACTGCATGTGGCCTACTGGACTGCCAACGAAGATGCCTTAATTATGTTCATCTCCCACCATGGCCTAAAAACAAAAAGAGGGGTGCTTATTGGGTTTTCCTGCTGGCAGTGAGACTGCAGCAATGAATTCTCAGAGGAATAGGATTATGTATATAGAGAACATCTTCTCCAGCCTCAGGTTTCCTCGAGAGTTGATCTTCCGTTACAGATAAAACGCAGACATGATACACCGCAATACCAGGCATCAGGACAACAGTAAGAGGAAGTACACTATATACGTATTGTAATGTGCTACTGACAGGGACTACAGTAAAAAATCCAACATCAATGTAGTGGTGGTTACCAAGACCATACATACTTGATGATGACCTCCACCATATATACCAAACCCTTCAGGGCATGTGATTTGAGTCTACTTGGGAAGACAGTAAGAAATTTGTCTATTCATTTACAGAAATAAAAATATGCCTGTAGAACAAATAACATCAGTAACATGTACAACACTGCAAATCCCACTTTCACAATTAATGGCATGGGACAAAGCCAATCTAGTGTGCTAGAAGAGTGATAATGGTACATGTTGATACTTGGAATCTCTACAATAAAACTTTCCAACACCATAAAAAAAATAGTGCCATATTCACTTACCAGCCCCTATAGCTCACATTGTTTTAGAACAAAAGGAACCCTGATATGGGCTTGTTGAGTGCATGTAGTACATCTCTTTAAGTTAAACTTGATGCCTGCGCCTGCTTCTTACACCATAAATGACCAAGCCACTGTATCTCATGGGGAAAATGTATTAGTAAAGGGCTTCACAACTACTAGTTCTCTTTTCATCACATGCTTAATTCTGTAATGAGTGTAAGTTTGTGTTTAGCTATGTTAGTAATGACTTACTCAGTTCACTCAGTATATGAAATACTTGTTTTTATATCATAGGGAATGTAATGCAAGTAGGTGCAGAGTAAATGGAGATAATTTTAAATAGTGGAGGTTATCTATATAGAACTTTTATATTGGGTATCAAACTGATATACAGTTTTTGAAATACTGCACTTTAAAACTTATTATTGAGAAATGGTTTGCATATGAAAATTAGAATGTCTTTTTGTGAAATACAGCTTTCTGCGGTGGAGATAAAACTTTTGCATTTGAAATTAGATTTTTATTAAAGATTTTCCTTTGTAGCATTTATAGGACATTTCTTTTATTAAGTGTTACTAAAGCCTTTGTAATAAACATTGCACTTTTGTAAAGAGAGAATGACTTACAAAGTTGACATAATGTACTTACACTTATGGTATGTATGAGGGTCTGTACTGTACTTACACTTATGGTATGTATGAGGCTCCGTATGAGTTTAGGTCTTCTTATTAATATTCTTTCTTCTTTCAACAAACTGGCCGTATCCCACCAAGGCAGGATGGCCCAAAAAGAAAAACAAAAGTTTCTCTTTTCAAATTTATTTATTTATACAGGAGAAGGGGTTATTAGCCCCTTGCTCCCGTCATTTTAGTTGCCTCTTACAACACGCATGGCTTACAGAGGAAGAATTCTGTTCCCTTTCCCCATGGAGATAAGAGGAGATAAACAAGAACAAGAACTAGAAAGAAAATAGCAGAAAACCCAGAGAGGTGTGTATATATATGCTTATACATGTATGCGTAGTGTGACCTAAGTGTAAGTAGAAGTAGCAAGACGTACCTGAAATCTTGCATGTTTATGAGACAGAAAAAAGGACACCATCATGTAAAACAATTACAGGCTTTCGTTTTACACTCACTTGGCAGAATGGTAGTACCTCCCTGGGCGGTTGCTGTCTACCAACCTTCTACCTAGTTCTTATTAATCTTTTTCTTTTTCTTTCAACAAGTCGGCCGTCTCCCACCGAGGCAGGGTGACCCAAAAAAGAAAGAAAATCCTCGAAAAGAAAATACTTTCATCATCATTCAACACTTTCACCACACTCACACATTATCACTGCCTTTGCAGAGGTGCTCAGAATACAACAGTTTAGAAGCATATACGTATAAAGATACACAACATATCCCTCCAAACTGCCAATATCTTATTAATATAATAATAATAATAATTAGTTCTGAATCTATATTTTCAATGCCATGTTTAGTGTGGGAACCAAGGTTTTTGAGGGTGCGGCCACAAGTGGAATTCTAACTACATTTCTTGGGGTTGTGACCACAAGTATATACAATCTTTATTGGGCCTTTCAAACATTTACAATTGAGATATTGCCAATAGGAGGAGCAAACTCAGTATTAAATGCAGTAAAAATGTTTTAAAAGGATCAGTATTTATGCATGTAAAAAATAGAAAGATTTTTTTGCACGAAGTGTTTTAAAGTATTATTTAGTGTTTAAAAGAAATAAAAATTGTATTGTATTGTGTATTGTATTAGGCAAAAAGAAATGTTTGAACAAACGAGAAATTATCCCAAGCCAGGAAGTAATTTCTTCTCTTATACCATGTGCCACTATTTTCTTCAGTAGTCTCCTTTTTGGAATTCTAAAAAAAGAGATTTCTGCTTGGTGCCTTAACTAAAGACATCTATTCTGTATGATATCTACTTAAGTATACTGTCTGAAGCTTCATTTGTAAATGATATCAGTATTGTTTTTTCTTTGCAGCAAAGTGTACCACCAGTGATGGCATTCCATCTGGGTTCTCTTGGTTTTCTCACGCCTTTCAAATTCGATAACTTTCAAGATCAGGTGACTCATGTTTTAGAAGGTTAGTATTATCAGTAATGATGAGGATAGAGTAGGCAGCAAAAAGTACACACTCTGAATGTCATTTTGTAATGGCATAAGTTTTAAGTACAGTACTGTACTGTCATTCAATAAAAAATATTACAATGAATTCCATTACATGAAATTCAAGACAAACAAAATATGTCCCTTACCTGAATTGTCAACACACACACTTACCAACTTTCTTCAGCCAACTTCATACATTATCAACACACAATATCTCTTCAAGTTACTCACTCAGGTCTTTCGTACATAGTTACAAATGCAGTTAAATATTGCCACCAATATTGTTTATACTATAACAGCTCTTTCTGAAGTTTTTATCACACCTCTTATTGTGAAAAAATAAATAATCATGAAGTTTTTCTAACAAATATTTTCAGAAAAATATACCTGGTATCCCAAATTTTATTTTAAGGCCATGCTGCATTGACGCTCCGATCACGTCTACGTTGTATTATACTACGTAAAGACCAAGAGACAGGCAAGACTGGTCGCCCCCCAACGAACTTGTTAGTGCTTAATGAGGTGGTTATTGATCGTGGTCCATCACCATACCTATCCAATATAGACCTTTATCTTGATGGCAAACGCATTACTTCAGTACAAGGCGATGGTAAGACAGTGGTTTAATTATTCGTTGCCACTCAGAGTAGTATAAAAAATAATTCCTAAACATGGCAGTGCATTTAACCTAATTATTTTTTTTGACTTTGTGTCTTATGGATTAATTAGTGATATGGAGGTTTTTATCATAAGTTAAGGAAGCCTAGGGAACAAATGGATTTGACAGTTAAAAATAGGAGAGGAGAGTTATTAAATGGAGAGTTAGAGATATCAGGAAGATAGAGGGAATATTTTGAGGACTTGTTAAATGTTGATGAAGATAGGGAAGCTGTGATTTTGTGTATAGGGCAAGGAGGAATAACATCTTGTAGGAGTGAGGAAGAGCCAGTTGTGCGCCTGGGGGAAGTTCATGAGGCAGCGGGTACAATGAAAGGGGGTAAGGCAGCTGGGATTGATGGGATAAAGATAGAAATGTTAAAAGCAGGAGGGGATATAGTTTAGGAGTGGTTGGTGCTATTATTTAATAGATGTAGGGAAGAGGGCAAGGCACCTAGGGATTGGCAGAGAGCATGCATAGTTCCTTTGTATAAAGGCAAAGGAGATAAAAGAGAGTGCAAAAATTATAGGGGAAGAAGTCTGTTGGGTATACCTGGTAAAGTGTATAGTAGAGTTATTATTTGAAAGAATTAAGAGTAAGACAGAGAGTAGGATAGCAGATGAACAAGGAGGCTTTAGGAAAGGTAGGGGGTGTGTGGACCAGGTGTTTACAGTGAAACATATAGGTGAACAGTATTTAGATAAGGGTAAAGAGGTTTTTGTGGCATTTATGGATTTGGAAAAGGCATATGACAGGGTGGATAGGGGGGCAGTGTGGCAGATGTTGCAGGTGTATGGTATAGGAGGTAAATTGCTGAAAGCAGTGAACAGTTTTTACAATTATAGTGAGGCTCAGGTTAGAGTATGTAGGAGAGAGGGAGATTATTTCCCAGTAAAAGTAGGCCTTAGACAAGGATGTGATGTCGCCGTGGTTGTTCAATATATTTATAGATGGGGTTGTGAGAGAAGTGAATGCGAGGGTCTTGGCAAGAGGTGTGCAGTTAAAAGATAAAGAATCAAACACAAAGTAGGAGTTGTCACAGTTGCTCTTTGCTGATGACACGGTGCTTTTGGGAGATTCTGCAGAGAAGTTGCAGAGGTGGACGAATTTGGAATGTTGCAGCAAGGAGAAGGCTGGGGGCAGTGGAGATGTCATGTCTGAGGGCAGTGTGTGGTGTGAATATAATGCAGAGAATTTGTAGTTTGGAAGTTAGGAGGAGGTGTGGGATTACCAAAACTGTTGTCCAGAGGGCTGAGGAAGGGTTGTTGAGGTGGTTCGGACATGTAGAGAGAATGGAGCAAAACAGAATGACTTCAAGAGTATCAGTCTGTAGTGGAAGGAAGGCGGGGTAGGGGTCGGCCTAGGAAAGGTTGGAGGGAGGGGGTAAAGGAGGTTTTGTGTGCGAGGGGCTTGGACTTCCAGCAGGCATGCGTGAGCGTGTTTGATAGGAGTGAATGGAGACAAATGGTTTTTAATACTTGACGTGCTGTTGGAGTGTAGCAAAGTAACATTTATGAAGGAATTCAGGGAAACCGGAAGGCCGGACTTGAGTCCTGGAGATGGGAAGTACAGTGCCTATACTCTGAAGGAGGGGTGTTAATGTTGCAGTTTAAAAACTGTAGTGTAAAGCACCCTTCTGGCAAGACAGTGATGGAGTGAATGATGGTGAAAGTTTTTATTTTTCAGGCCACCCTGCCTTGGTGGGATTCGGCCAGTGTGTTAATAAATAAAAAAATAAATATGTAAAAGGAAAAAATTAAAAGTGAATATAGGAAAGAGTAAGGTTATGAGGATAACAAAAAGATTAGGTGACAAAAGATTGGATATCAGATTGGAGGGAGAAAGTATGGAGGAGGTGAATGTATTCAGGTATTTAGGAGTGGATGTGTCAGCAGTTGGGTCTATGATGAGGTGAATCACAGAATTGATGAGGGGAAAAGGATGAGTGGTGCACTTAGGAGTCTGTGGAGACAAAGAACTTTGTCCGTGGAAGCAGAGAGGGGAATGTATGAGAGTATAATTGTACCAACACTCTTGTATGGGTGTGAAGCATGGGTGATGAATGTTGCAATGAGGAGAAGGCTGGAGGCAGTGGAAATGTCGTGTCTGAGGGCAATGTGTGGTGTGAATATAATGCAGAGAATTTGTAGTTTGGAAATTAGGAGAAGGTGTGGGATTACCAAAACTATTATCTAGAGGGCTGAGGAGGGGTTGTTGAGGTGGTTCGGACATGTAGAGAGAATGGAACAAAGCAGAATGACTTTGAGAGCGTATAAATCTGTAGTGGAGGGATGGCGGGGTAGGGGTCGGCCTAGGAAGTGTTGGAGGGAAGGGGTAAAGGAGGTTTTGTGTGCAAGGGGCTTGGACTTCCAGCAAGCGTGCATGAGTGTATTTGATAGGAGTGAATGGAAACAAATGGTTTGTAATACTTGACGTGCTCTTGGAGTGTAAGCAGAGTAAGATTCATGAAGGGATTCATGGAAACCGGCAGGCTGGACTTGAGTCCTGGAGATGGGAAGTACAGTGTCTACATTCTGAAGGAGGAGTGTTAATGTTGCAGTTTTATAACTAGTGTAAAGCATCCCTCTGGCAAGACAGTGATGGAGTGAATGATGATGAAAGTTTTTCTTTTTCGGGCCACCTGCCTTGGTGGGAATCGGCCGATGTGTTATTAAAATAAAAAAACATACTATGTCAATCACCATTTAAATAATATTAGTGTAAAATTCAGAATTAATTGAGTTTATTGTAGGTCTCCCAGTTTTGGCGAGAAAGGGCCGATGTGTTTATATTTTTTTATAAAATGATTGTCTTTCAACAGGTCTTATAGTGTCTACCCCCACTGGAAGTACAGCATATGCTGTAGCTGCTGGGGCTTCTATGATTCATCCCTCTGTTCCTGCCATCATGCTGACACCTATCTGTCCACATTCTTTATCCTTCAGACCAATTGTAGTACCTGCAGGAGTTGAACTTAAGGTATTTTTTTTTATGCTCCTACAACACTTCTTTGATAAAATTTGAAATAAAAGAATAAATTCATTAGTGCTCACATCATAAGACTGAAAAAAAAATAAAATACTCTAGATCAGGATAATTCCATTAAAAGTAATTTGTGGTTTTAGGAAATTTTAGTATTTGAAAGTGCTGTAAAGTTTATTCAAAACAGATTAAACAATAATGGATGAAAATTAACAGTAAATCAAGAAGAAAATACTGTACTGCACCTTCTTATTTATGTAAAATAAAAGTTGTTATTTTGAAGTACTAGTGTTAAAGTTATACCAGATGTTATATTTAATTCTTTTTAGAAATGGAATAGTTCTCAATTATCTTCTTGATCTCCAAAATTAAGCATGATTGGCTGTTTATTTTTCTACTGTTCTGTTACTACATATATATTGTATTTTTGCTTAATAATGAGTAACTGTAAACCAGTTCATGTAGGATATTTACTGTATTAATTTACTCTAATATATGTATATATCATGAAATGTTAGTTCAGTTTGTGTTTAGACAGATGAAAAGAAAGTAAAAACTATGGTTATATTAAACAAAATTCCAAAAGATAAAATTTCTTGCATTTTTAAGATGTAATAACTTACATTTCATGGCTTAGATTGCAGTATCTAGAGACAGCAGAAATACAGCGTGGGTATCCTTTGATGGAAGGAAAAGGCAAGAGCTTTTTCACGGGGATAGGTAAGAAATGAATTATGTGATATAAGGCAGCAATTTATGCTTTTGAAGCCTTCTGTTTGCTGTCTGTCTGTATATTCACAGTGGGTAATAGATCTCCGTATGAAGACGAACTGACGATGACTGCCAAGACTCCTTTAACAGTATTTAAAGGCATTGGAATTTTTGGGTTGTATTTAGATGGCATGATACTAATTTTTCTTTTGTGGTGAAGGTGGCATATTTGAAGAACAATGAAAATGTCTTCGTATGTGTAATATTCGTTAGTACAGTAGAAGCTTAATCTGACATAAACCTTATTCTGTGTATACAGTATTTAATCACTGCAAAATTGTACATTAGTACTGCACTATAATTTGAATTTATTTGCATGTGTTTAGATGTGTGATAGTTATACCCTACATGAAGATTTGGGACAAGATGTAGGAGATTAAAAATGGAAAATGTTATGTGAAAATGTAATATTAATACAAATGATACATATTTTCTTTTAACACACTGGCTTTCTCCCACTGAGGTAGGATTACCCAAAATAAGAAGAAACACTTAACCATCATTCATTCTGTCATTGTCTTGATAAAAAGGTGCCGATACTACAGTTCAGATGGCCCTCCAAATTACAAATAACCCCTCCCCTCCTTCAGGCATCGTACTTCCCACCTCAAGGACTCGACTCAGTCTGACCAGTTTTCTTAAGCCTTACTTATGTTCCTGTTTTGTCTTGCACTTAATTCTTTTCATGGTATACTCAACAGGTTTATTTCCCTATCAGTTTTATTCTCGTTTTGTTCCCCCTTTCCTTTATACAAAGGTTCTATGTAGACACACTGCCAATCCCTAGGTACCTTTCCCTCTTTATTCATTTATTGAACAAAAGTGCCAACCACTCCAAAACTATATCCCCCACATGCTTTTAACATTTCTGTCATGATCCCATCAGTCCCAGCTGCTTTACCCTCTTTCATTTATCCACTTCCTCATGCATCTCCCCCACTCTCATAACTGACTCTTCCTCCTTCCTAAAGAATGTTACACCTCCCTGGCTAATGCATGAAATCACTGCTACCCTTTCATCATTGACATTTAACAGCTCCTCAAAATATTCCCACCATCTTCACAATACCTCCATCTCCCCGTCTAATAACTCCCCTCTTCTGTCTTTAACTGTCAAATCCATTCATTCCCAAGGTTTTCTCGACCTATTAATCTCACTCTCAAAATTATATACTACTGGTAAAATTAAATGATTAAAAAAATTATTTTCTTTACACAATTTTTTCATTTTCTCTGCATATAAAGTACAGTGGACCCCCGAGTTTCGTGATTAATCCGTTCCAGAGAGCCTGCTGAAAGTCGAAATTCACGAAACTCGAAACCATTTTCCCCATAAGAAATAATGGAAATAAAAGTAATCCGTTCCAGACACCCAAAAATATTAAAATAATTTTTTTTTTTTCAAATTAAATAAAGATTTACATACTGAAAACAATCAGAAATCAAGTACATGCATATAAAAAATAATAATAACATTACACTTACCTTTACTGAAGACTTCTGGGTTGATGGAAGATGGGAGGAGGGGATAGGAGGAAGATGTACACTATTGTTTGGAAGGAGAATCTCCTTCCATTAGGACTTCAGGTAGCAAGTCCTTTTCTGGGGTTACTTCTCTTCTTCTTTTAATGCCACTGGGAACAACTTGAGAGTCACTGGACCCCTGTCGCACAAAATATCTGTCCAGAGAGGTCTGTTTCTGGCATTTCTTTATGATTTCCCTGAAGTGGGACAAGGTTTTGTCATTCAACATGTTGCAGAGATGGCTTGTTTCAGCTTAGTCAGGGTGATACTTTTCAACAAAACTTTGCAACTCATTCCACTTTGGACACATGTCCTTAATCACCGAAGAAGACACCTCCTTCACTCTCTTTTCCTCCTCCTCTGAAGCAAGTTCCTCAGCTGTGGTCTGATGCTGTTCCAGTTGAAGCTCATGCAGTTCGTCAGTGGTTAGCTCTTCCCTGTGGTCCTCCACCAACTCTTCCACATCCCTGTCACTCACCTCCAACCCCATGGACTTGCCCAATGCCACAACACCTTCCACAACAGGCAGAGGGTCGGCAGGGTCAGGGTCTGCCTCAAACCCTTCAAAATCCCTCTGGATCGTGTTCTTCGCTTTCTTTACCAAAGGGCTTGCACTAGCTTTCCTTGGGCCCATGGTGACTTATTTAGCAGTTGCAATCACAAAAAACAATGGATTATTACGTATGAACCCGCGGGGTGATGGTCACATGTTGGTAAACAATGGCACACTGAGCGTGAATGGCATGGGAGACTGGCTTTGTGTGCTCGGTGATGGTCAGACGGGTACCGGACGGTCGCCGAATCACGAAACTTGAGGCCAAATTTTGCTGATAAACCTTGCCGAAAGTCGATGCTGCCGAAACTCGGGGGTCCAGGGTCCATTGTATTACAGTCTACAGTGCATGCAGATTATATGGTGAGAGCCAAAATGATATTCAAAACTTATAAAACATTTTTAATTTAAAGGGTAAGTCACAGACTAAGAATTAAGCAACAGAAAGCTGTTTTAAGCTACCTATAGTATATTTGTGCCATTTTCAAAGAGCTTTTCTATAAACAGTTACAAGGTATGTAGTTAAAAAGTGAAAAGATAAAGTGAGAGTATAGTATGAGCCTGCAAGGAATACGACAATGTATAATGATTTGTGCCTGTTGTTTAAAAGAATAAAATTTGCCAGTGTAAAAATGGCACCCTATTAACTTTCACTGGGTAGTGCTTCTAGGGGTTACAGAAGCCAACCGGTGTAATGCCTATTTTACTTCAGTATGTTTGCAGCTTTGTATCCTTAATGCCATATAATTTTATTCAGAAGGATATAATGCTCAGAATTGTTTCCAAATAGTATTGTAATATTTGAATAATGCAATATCTATTACACTCAGCTCCTATATTCTGTTGTCTTACAGTACTGTATCACTTTGCATGTGTTTGTTGCTCATTAGAGCTGTATACCACTTGACATACAGGTCTATACCTACTCATTATTTACCAAACTGTGTATGGATATTTTAGCCTTCATTAACCCCTTGACTGTTGCAACCCTTAATCCTGAGGTGTCTCCTGGTGTTGCAAAATTAAAAAAAAAAAAAAAATTCTTATGAAATGATAGAGAATCTTTTTCCGATTGTAATGACATCAAAAGAACGAAATTTGATGGAAAACTGACGGAATTATGCTTTCGCGATGTTAGCGACCTCGGTGATACTTACAAATCTGCGATTTCACCCTTTTGAGCCCTATTTTCAGCTAATTCCATTGCTCCAGTCGACCAAACTCATAGCTGTTTCTTTAGAACTCCATTTTTTCTATTGATTGAGTACAAGAAACTGCCCATTTACCGATTTCAACTACCCAATAACGTGGTCAGAAATTTGCAAATTGCCCAATTTCATGAAAATTAAAAAATAAGGCAATTTCAAAATAGGGTCCAGAATGAACAATGCAGACATTCCTGGCTCTAAAATAACATTTTCTTTGTTCATCAGTCACATCTCCAGACCCCTCTGATATTACTCTTGCTTTCTATTTTGAATTTTTATTCAAACAAAAAATAGAAGATTTACTGTTATGCAGACTGCTGCAATATTGTAATAATTGTATAAATAATGTCAACCCATTCATGACTGCATATTAGAATGGCTACTTGGACATTTATTGGAAAATGACATCATTTGTTTACTTTTGAACATCGGCAAAAATCAAAGATTTCCCCTACTTTGAGCTCCATTTCAAGGTTCTTTTATTAGTAAAACCAATCAAAATCACTGCTATTTCTATAATATATTTTTCATTCTATCAAAGGTGGCCAAGAAAACGAGAATACAACCATAAATACTATACGAAAATAAACCACAAAGTCGGCATTTTAATTAAAAAAAAAAATTCTCATTATGCACTGCGTGCTGCAGGATTTTTTTTATATGGTGCACACTGACCACACACACCCATTCTCTCACATGTGGGCCTACCAGCTTTCTCCTGCTTGGTTTGAAGCTGCTAGAATTTATGAGTACAGTGGACCCCCGACATTCGATATTAATCCGTTCCTGAGAGCTCATCGAATGTTGAAAATAACGAAAGGCGAATTAATTTTCCACATAAGAAATAATGGAAATCAAATTAATCCGTGCAAGACACCCAAAAGTATAAAAAAAAAATTTTACCACATGAAATATTGTTTAATGCAATAGAATAATTACAATAACAACAATAACAATAGATTAATAACAATAGAATAATTGACACTTACCTTTAATGAAGATCTGGTGATGATTGATGGGATGGGAGGAGGGGAGAGTGTGGATGGTGTTAGTGTTTAGAAGGGGAATCCCCTTCCATTAGGACTTGAGGTAGCAAGTCTTTTTCTGGGGTTACTTCCCTTCTTCTTTTAATGCCACTAGGACCATCTTGAGAGTCACTGGACTTCTGTCGCACAACATATCTGTCCATAGAGGCCTGTACCTCTCGTTCCTTTATGACTTTCCTAAAGTGGTTCACAACATTGTCATTGTACAGGTTGCCAACACAGCTTGCAGTAGCTGTGTCAGGGTGATTTTCATCAAGAAAGGTTTGCACTTCAAGCCACTTTGCAGTAAGCAACTTCTTCAATTTCTCTCTCCCCTCTTCCGAAGCAGTTTCCTCAGGTCTGGCCTCTTGCTGTTGAAGATGATCTAGCAGCTCATCAGTGGTTAGTTCGTCATTGTCCTCCTCCTCCACCAACTCTTCCACATACTCCCCACTAACCTCCAACCCCAAGGACCTCCCCAATGTGACAATGGATTCCTCAACTGGCATACACTTCTCAGAGTTAGCCTCAAACCCTTCAAAATCCCTTTTGTCTACACATTCTGGCCACAGTTTTTTCCAAGCAGAGTTCAAGGTCCTCTTAGTCACTTCCTCCCAAGCCTTACCTATAAGGTTTATA